AAAAAATTTGTATGTTTCTGTAAAAAATAAAAAATTATTGAAAAAATAAAAGCGTGCAATACTTTTGTCCCCCCCCCCGGTAGCAATAAAAGTTAAAAAATATTGTAGATTAGATCAAACTCAAGGTGATTAATTCATATAGAAAGCAAATTAAATTTGATTACAGAAAATTTGTATTAACCTGATTTTATACTTTTTAGCGAAAGCATTAATCTCTGCTTTGTCACGTGAGATTGCATTAATCGAAGGTCCGCCAGGTACTGGAAAAACCGTAGTCGGTGTAGAGATAATGAAAGTGTTACTGGCAAAAGAAAATCGAGTAGCAAATATTGGTCCCATTCTCACCATCTGCTTTACTAATCACGCCCTCGATCAATTCTTGGAGGTACCGTAATATTAAACTTAACCTGTTGCACCTGATAACTCTTTAGATTTGTGTTTATTTATAATTCTCCTTTCTTATTTATTCACAGCATTTACTTGACGTAAAGATAACCAATATAGTTAGATTAGGCACTCGAACAAAATCTGAAAGAATTGAAGAATATACTTTAGAAGAAGTTTGCAAAAGAAATCCCCGTAAATTTAGCAACGAAGTATCCCGTTTAATACCAGGTTTACTTCAATCATTAAAAAGTCTCGAACAGGAAATTAATGGAATTAACTATTCTTTATCCGGAAGGTGGTTGAGTTGGCAAGATGTACAATCACACTTGATGACGAATGAAAAAACATTTTATGATAAGTTTAAACGTGTGCCCAATAATGATGAATTACCTATTTGGGTATTAGGTGCTAATTACGAGGAGGATTCGAATGGATTTATCACTGCTCAAGATAAATGGAAGTATTTACACCCATTTGAAAAATGGTTAAGATGTATGGATTTTTATAATAATTGAAGGAAGAAAGGAAGCCTTGTCAGAGTTTAGAATGGATAGATATGACCCAACGATTGACTATGAAACTATACGATGGATAAAGAATTATGAAGTACCTGAAACAAATCGCCCTTTATATATGCTATTAAATACAAATTCAATTTGGCAAATGTCAAGAATCGAAAGGAAAAAACTTCATGATTATTGGCGTGACAAAATTCATGAAAAATTTATAGAAAGATTATCCAAATTAAAATATAAGCATGATCAAAAACGTGAGGAATTGAATAAACTTTATGATGAAGGGCGTCGTCAGACATTAAAAAATTGTGATGTTATTGGTATGACCACAAATGGCGCAGCTAAATTTCAAAACCTAATTAGATCTATTGGTCCTAAAATTATCGTATGTGAAGAGGCCGGAGAAGTACTTGAAGCTCATATCCTAAGTGCGTTAACCCCTGCAACACAACATATCATATTGATTGGAGATCCAAATCAACTCCGACCACGAATTGCTACTTATTCTCTCAGTATGGAATCAAAAGAAGGAAAAAATTATCAATTGGATAAATCATTGTTTGAAAGGTTAGTAAGTGGTGATAAAGCAGCAAAGATTGGGAAGGTTCAACTTTTAACTCAGAGACGCATGAGAAAAAATGAAATTTCTGATCTAGTTAGATACACGCTTTATCCAGATTTAATTGATGGTGAGAATACTGCGAAGTATTCGAACATTCGCGGATCTAAACATAATGTATATTTTATCGATCATAAATTTCCAGAAGATGATACTGGTGGTGATTTTGCAACGCAATCTCATGTGAATCAATATGAAGTCAAAATGGTAGTGGAGATGGTAAAATATTTTGTTAGGAATGGATATACTAAACCTGAAGATATAGCCGTACTTACTCCTTATTTAGGGCAAATGATGAAAATCAAAGAAGCTTTAGACGAATCATTTGTTGTAGTCATTGATGAGAGAGATGCACAAAGTCTTGCTGAAATGGAACAAGATGATGGTAAAGTTGATAATAATGGAAAGGGTAATGAAAATAAAGCGTTGCTCTAGAAAAATCATTACATCAACAGGTTACCTTAAGAACCGTTGATAATTTCCAAGGTGAAGAAGCAAACATAGTCATTATTTCTTTAGTTCGTAATTATGCTGGATTTGGTAAACGTGATACGATTGGATTTTTAAAAAGTAAAAACCGAAGTAATGTGCTACTGTCACGTGCTCGAGAAGGAATGTACCTTATTGGTAATTCTAAATTAATGGCAGCACAATCAAAGAATATGTGGACTCTGGTGATTAACATGTTACAATCGCGAGATCCCCCACAAATTGGTTTTGGTTTTCCAATTGTATGCAATAAACATCCTAATTACAAAAATATTATTGATGATCCTGAACAATTCGCAAAAGTTAGTCCGGATGGTGGATGCCTGAAGGTATGATTATGTGTTTGCCATCATTCTAAAATTTATCATTATGTAATATTCAATTTTCACATTTAATTTCGTTTCAGAGATGTCGTATCCTACTTCCCTGTGGACACCGGTGCACTTATAAGTGTCATTCAGATGATCCTGAACATATCGGAATTCAATGTCTTAACCCTTGTAAAAGATTACGTGAAACATGTAATCATCCATGTCCAAGACTGTGTTTTGAAAGTTGCGGAAATTGCAATGTTCCAATAGATGATATTATCTTAACTGGCTGTGGACATACGGTAAAGAATGCTACATGTTGGCAAAATCATAATAAAGATATCGTCAAATGTATGACATATGTTCTAAAGCGATTTCCTATTTGTGGACATTCAAAAGTCATTCACGTAAGTAAATTTGGTTTACTTAATTATTAATTGCTTATCTTTATAATAATAAGTTTGTATTTATAATTTTTCAGTGCTATGAATCTATTGATGATGTTCGATGTGAAAGTTTATGCGGAAAATCTTTGGAATGTAATCATAAATGCTTAAATGAATGTTTCAAATGTCAGGAACTTTCGAAATCACAAGATAACCCCCCGTCGAACGAGCAAAACATATAAATTGCAAAGAGAAATATAATGGATTAAAATTTTGTGGAAATGTATGTAAACTATCCCTTAAATAAAAGATCCATTTCTATTATTTAAGTTTAGAATTTTACATTTGAATTTATTTACAATATTGGCCCTTTACTCGATCGTATTATTATTACTTTGAAATTGTTCATTATGATAAAGTATTAGTTATGGGTGCAATTGTAATTTTATCCTTAAGAGCAACATCTAGTTTTGGATCCTTCCAAAGTAAAATGTAAATAGCCTTATGCGGAATGTTCTAATACATCATTTCTTCTTTTAAATACATAATTTACGAACACGATTTCATAATATATATTCGAATTAAATTCCAAAGTTTCATATTTCTCGCTTAGCTTTTTCTCAAGTGTATAACATCATAAAACTACTGTAGTTATTTCAAAACCTTCAGAATACCATTCTCTTGATCTTATTTCGAGTAAATTTTTCAATAATTTCCAACATTTGTCATTACAATTCTAATCCTAAGTAGGCTTCGATATTTGGTTTAAACACACTTTATATTTGTATTATGTTCAAGTTTTTTTTTCTCCTTAAAATTTTATTTGTTCAAGTTATTCTAAAACTTTGTTCATTTTGAAAAAAAAAAAGCTTGAAAACTTTCTACAAAAATGAAAAAAGCTAGAAAATTGTTATTGATTAAACAACATGATAGTTAATAATAACATGACATTTTGGCAAATTTGCGAAATGTGAATTAAACTGTTCAAATGAAAAATTTTTTTTTTGCTTCGCCATAATTAAATTCATACTACTTCATATACATCAAGCAACGTTCTATAAGTAACACGAAATTGTTTTATAAAATACTTTTTTCAGCGAATAATCAATATATTTCCAATATCAATCGAATAATTGTAATTATATAGTAATGTTTATTACTCAAATTGAAACACGTTTTATCCCATCGGTATTATGTATACACCGATGGAATTTTTTTTGTTAATTACTTCACTAATTTACTAGTAATGAGTGTGTGAAAATTTATTTGGAATTTAACATTTTGATGTTATGTTCATGTATATTCAATTTGGATTTTCTTTTTTTCGCGTAGAATTAGAAATGCTTGTCGTTTCTTAGCTTGTAATATAAATTAAAATTGAAGAACATAAACAAAATTGTATCAATAAATTACAAGGCAAGGTTTAATTACTGACTCCATTTAAATATCGTGTCAATTATGCATAATAGTTATGCACAGTTTCTGTTTCGTAATTTACGTAATAAACCTACACAAAAAATCTTCAGGAAAAAAAAAGAAAATAGACAAAAAAATCCATCGGTGAATACATCATGCTTAGGTTATTTAGAGTTAATATGAAAATCACAACGATAAAACCAAATAAAGTCTTCTTTACGTTCCAAGTTCAGTAATGATATAATAAAACACCAAAAAATGGACTATTATAATTTGTAATTGGAAATAGTGATAAAAGACAGCTATTTACAATATCGTCATATTAAAAATATGACTTTATAAAATTTTATCTTAATTTTGATTTGTAACTTTCGATTATTATTAACCTAAAAGTTATCTTTCAATATATAATAATAAAATATTTAATAATAAACTACTTAAAAGAAAAAAAATTAAAAATCTAATCCAAAGTAATTAACTGCAACGTTAAGTCAAATAAGTCTAATAGTATAATCATAGACATAGTTCATTTTATTTTATTTTAAATAGACATAAATATGTTTAGATTTTGTTTACAATTATGTTCTATCATATATTAAAAATTTAAGTCGCTATACCACTTCCTTTTTTATTAGCAATATATTAAATGAGTGAAACTTTGTGTTCTATATAAGGCCCTCTGTAATACCATTTCATTGTCTCATTTTTTTTTATTTATGTTAAACATTTTTCTATAATCGCGCGTCGTACAAAAAAGAAATCTAACATAATAGGATCGGGAAGATTATTTCGAGGAATTTGAATTGGAGAACGCAAACTGTGGTATAGACAGTCTAACTTAATGTTGATAACACATGTGCCTTGCTCGAAATTTAAAGGGCCGCCATTCACATCAT